AGCATGAAAAAAGGGACAGGGAAGAAGATCCCTATCGAGATCATATGGCTGACCTGATTAAAGGTGGATTCAGGGGATATGGTATTATCCCTTTCAACTCTCAAAGATCATAAGAAAAGTAAACCAGGAACTCCCAGATGCCATACCTCACAACAACATGGCACTGATCTGTTATTTGACCATCTAAAGAATTGGCGACAAGCAGAGTCCAGTGCACCATGAAGAGAGCAGGGCAAGAGGATAAATGTAAAACCTGGCCAAGGTGTAAACCCAGAGGACTTTTTAGGACCACATTCCTGTTCCCCTACAGCCCAAGAGTCTGGACAGCCATCAAAACGTCAATGCAAAGGATGGGAACCGAAATGTGAGGAATTATCTTCAGACTCTGACAGTACCAGTAGCATTGATGCTGATGAATAGGATGATGTTGAGGACAATTTAAGTGAAGTATCAGATGAAACTGTTGAAGACATGGGAATCAAACCATAACTTAAGCAAGATGACTTTGTACTTGTGGCATTCAGAGGAGGTTCTTCACAGAAAACGTTCTATTATGTTGGCAAGCTTCTGTTCCCGAAGAACGCTGATAAATGTGTGTGGGCTGTCGATTATTTGGGAAAAAATACAAGTGCAACCACGATTATATAAGTTTCAAAACCCTCGAGAACCGTGATGTGTTTGAAACTGATGTATAATGCAGTGAAGAAATATTAGATAAATCATTGATCATAATAAACCTCTTGTTGTTCAAAGAAAATATTTGCAGTAAAATGATGCACTAAAGCTTTCACAGCATTCTTTTCTGATTTAATTTCAACTGTGAATATATTTTTTGTTATAGCTGATGTGTGTATCATTTGGGATTCATTAGTCTCTAATTTGTGATTTAATATTCTCCTATTCATTAGCAAAGCAATGATGATGTTAAAATTTCTACACTGTTTACTTGTATTTTGCATTGTATAATGATCTCACCATTGAATAATGTGTTTGAAATTTGTAGAATTTATTTTGAATGTTGAAAGTCTATGCTTAGAAGCCAGCTCTGTGTTCATTTGTTGTTTTGAAGTCAGTTCTGTGTTCATTTGTTGTTTTGAAGTCAGTTCTGTGTTCATTTACTCAAATAAATATAAGAGAACCAAATTACCTCAAAGTGTGGCAGAATTGGGGTCACTGCTATTATATTTCCCCAAAATAAAATATCTTTTATATTACTGTATTTTCCTGTTTCAGATAGGATACGTTAAACAGTTAGGTTACATGTCACAATAGGGTTTTCAGACATCTGTCACATTTCATTAAATACAGTACCCTGAAACCCAACCCAGAAAGTAATAATGTAGAAGTGTACAGTAATATCTAGTGCTTCAGGGAGTTCTCAATCTCGCTGGGCTTGTACACAGAAGTGCTCCTGATTGTAAGGCTGTGAATACAAGATAACAATGCAAACATAGAATATTATCATTAACAAATGGTAAAAGTCCTTGAAGCTTCCTGAAAATACTACGGGTGTTCATTTATATTTTTTATATATACAGTAAATCAATAAAATCAATGAGCGATTTGTCATGATCATATCTCGTCTTCCCTAAAAGCTGATTCCTACAACCAATAACCTGACCTTAGCATGTTTAACTGTGACTGCCTGAACTTGATTACAAAAACATTAAAAGCAATATGTCTACATTTCACTGTCCCCTAAAACAGTGAGACTAATAGGAGTATTATTATTGTTTGAGTCATCCAGCAATTTTTAGGATTTTAAGTTTTGGAATCAGTAGTTTAAACAATTCTAAGACACCTTTCTTCTATAGTATTTCTTTCCCTTATGATTACTTTCAGAGAGAATCGAAATAAAATTTTGGAAAATCACCTTATTTTCTCTAAGTTCTTGTTGATGTTAACGCCATCCAGGAGAGCTTCTGTGTGTTCGTGTGTTGGTTAGTCGCTGTATTCCACACGTCCTAAAGTCTGACGCATGCGCAGTTGTTCTTTGGATGTTAATTGTGGGTATGATTTTGGATCAACCAATGACAGCTTGGTATAGGCCCCCCTGCTGCTACCCGCTTGAATTTGATTTTAGTTCTAAGATGACTTCATCATGCAATAGCTGTGATGTTAATTATTTCCAAACCATCGCAAGATTTCACGTAGAATTTTACGGTAAGGACGGCGAGACGTTGAAATTTCCCCACAAACACTGTGTTTTTCCAACTGAGGTTACTTGTGTGAACTGTAACCATCCCTGTAGCTATAAAGCTGACAAACACCTTTGGTACTGTGGAAGGAGAATTGCTGCAACCTGTGGATGACGAGGAAGAGGACCCCGATGACCCCAACTTCTGAGTCTAATTAAGGTAAACACACAGGTGGATAGGTTAGGTTTAGGGTTAGGTTAGGTTTTGAATTATTCTGACCTTCATTTCTATTGCAAATTAAAAAAATATATATATTTTCCCCCACCCAAAACCCCTGGTTCCCATTGGGCCTAGGATTCCCCATTATCGTTGGATAAGGGGGGGGGGGTTTATCTCAAAAAATGATTAGCGGCAGAAATTAAAATCAGATTCGTTCAAAACACATCAAAAACAATTTCAACTTCCAACAATTTAGAAAAATACAACAATTTTCATTTTTGGGGCAATTTTCTCTGAAAGTAATCATGAGTGGAAGAAATACCATTGAAGAAAAGTGTTAATATTGATGACTGACCTGTGGACGAGTTATTTGTTTTACTGTTTATTTTCTTACTCTATTTTCAACAGTGAGTTCTGATATGATAATTATTTCTTGTGCAAATGCTTTGTTTGGTAAATAATTAGGCCCCTAGGTGCACACTACTTTGTCTTCTCGGGGATAATGCGGCGGTGACATCTCATACTAATATCTAAACAGCCAATAGTGAAATTTCAGTCATGCACAGGTCTTTCTCTCGCTGTTAATACTAGAGTATGTTTTTCGTAATGTTTAGACAATTCTAAGACCTTTTCTTCTATGATATTTCCGCCAGAAATTAAGGATAACCGAAATATTTTTTTCAATACCCTGTATTATTAGATTGGTCAGTCACAAGTGTCGCCATTTGTTGTTTACGTCTCACAGAGAAGGTCTGACCACACATCAAGCAGTGCTCCTTACCTCCGAGTTGGTTTCTTAAGCATCTACAGCACATGTGCGGGGGGTGGTGTGGGAGTTTCTTATTGGCTATAACGATAGGAGACTTATACAGGGGTGTAATTGGGCAAGAGTTTTTTGTCTTAGCCAATGAACAATGCGTGGGTGTGTCGGGAACGGAGATTTGATTTTGCAGTACCAGAATAACCAGATATGGCTGAACAGGTGCAGGTGAAAAGAATTGTGTCGACATTGTGATAGAGATTATTTTACGTCAATTGCAGTTTCATCAGAAAAATAGTGTTAGGTTAGGTCAGGTCAGGTCAGGTTAGGTTTGGTTTTGTTGGTTGGTTGGCATTATATTTATGTGATTTACTCGAATAAAAAAAGTTGTTAAGATTGATGGGTAGGGGTATCTCAATACTATTGACTTCACGCTGAAATGAATATCAAATTCGTTCGAAACTCGTCATATAACATCAGAAAAAGATATTTTTAATATCCAAACAAAGACCAGTGCAGAATTGAAATTGGACCCAGCCAATGATATTGACATTTTAAACCCCCCCCCCCCCACCCAGGCTGCTCTCACATCCACAAAAACTGTATTATTACACCATATCACAGTAAGTTCTTTCTGTTTAATATACCACGGCTACAAAGTTGGGTATGGTTAGGTAGGTTTGTTTGCTTAGGTAGGCGATGTCTTCTAACAACGCTTCGGTATTTTTGTATTTGCGCACACAACTTTCCTACCCAAAATATATTATCATATTAAAAAAAGACGTTAATTATAAGATAAACTTCTTCTATTACATTACCGTCACAAACGTATAATTACGGAGATAGCACATCCAAAATGTTTCCCTATTTTCTTCCAATAATCTTCCGCCATTATCGCCTACCCGACCTCCCACACTGCGTGTCTCCTTCATAAATCGTCACTCGCATGCATTCCCATACACATCACGCAGCCAATCAAAAGCGGTTTTTTTTTCAGCCACCAATTAAAATGATTTGTAGTTAAATTTGCTGTATTTTTTTGGCCCTATCAAATTCGATTTTTATTTTGGGTCTCATATTTTGAAATTCAAATTCATTTCCGACCATGAAAGTCTGTGATGGGTGTCACTTCAATTATATGGAGTTGATTGCGCGTTTTGGGGGAAAATACGAACAAGCTATAGCATTATTTAGATCTCATGGTGTCCTCCCGACCTCAATAGTGGCCTACGTGCAAGCTGCCAGCCAATACTCCCCGTTAAGCGAGAATCAGCGTCAGCAACCTGTACTAATCTCAGAATCCAATGACGAACCAAAACCAGGCCAATAAGGTAAGAAATAAGTGAGTCCATCATATGGTGAGTTAGTTAGGTTAGGTTACTTTAGGTCGTCAGGTTTATGTTTTTCTAGTTTTTTTTTTGTATTCGCTTAGCCATAATTTGTCGGAAAACGCCCCACCAAAATCCCCAGATAATTAAAAAACGGGCAATTTCCGACGGAAATGAAGATCAAAACCAATCAAAACACACAAAAATACACTAGAAAAAACATAGTTTTGAGTTTCTAAAAGAGTTGTGTGCATTTGCAAATTTACCAACGCTTCTGCAGCTTGTTTTTCGTACCAACTAAGGTTAAGTCAGGTTTAATTTAGAAACAACCACATTTGCACAAACTACGAGTGTCCACTATAAAACACGGTGAAATTGCGACGTTTTTATAATCGTTTTCTATGAAAAATAGGCCGTGGGTCAATCGTCAATAATTACCACGTTAATTTACCATTAAGGGCATGTATCCATAGCCTTTCATATAACACGTACAGGCAAGGCAACTACTGTACAGGGTTATGGTTGACCTGTCTATCGTAATTTCCCTCTACTAACCTTCAACAGAAAATTTAAAAAATGACGATCAGTCGATGTAACATCCCCTTGAAGCCATTCTATTCATTTTCCTGGGAGGTGGAAGCAAATGTTGTGTGTTTTATGCGAATCCAAACAAACCCAGCTGAGGTGGCAAGTGATACTCGGCAGTGACAACCTATAGGTGAACTGATGTCTTTGTTTACATCCGGAGTAAGAGAGCCAACACTCCTCCTGGACAGACAAGTGCTCCTTAGCCTACCCTAAATGCCTTCTTTATACTCCAAAAACATTCTAACTCTATTGTACGTCAATGGTGATGGCTGAATTATGTGTTGACGAGCCTTGAACTCCTGTCATCAACAAAGTTGTTTTCTTTAACAGTTTAATGCTATCTAGTAAATATTACAGTATATGCACGTAATTTACAATTTTCTGCAATAACCAATGCAACATAGGTAGAAACGAAAATTGTTTTACCCTTAGGAGGAAAATTCTGAAGTACATTGTTAGCAAGAAAATTCAATTGTAACTAAAACAATACAGGCCTACAGGGCCGGGTCATTACAGCCATATACGTAACTGATTATTCAAATTAGTAAATTGCTGGCGAAGTGTATTTTGGCTAATTGATATAATTTAATTGTTAACGTTTAAGATGACAGTATCAATTAAGCAGGTAGCTATTAAAAGTTATACAGCCTGCTTATATACTGTAACTACTGTATCATTGTAAAACCAAGAGTTAACTTTCACCACTTCACTCTTTGACTGACTGACTAAAGGAGTTCAACGGAACTGGAAATTACAACCCTCTGCTAATAATTAGTCTCCCATGAAGAGAAATACTTTGAATTTCTCAGGCACCAATGTATGCTGTCGACTCAAAACAGAGACTTCAACATTCTACGCCTACGTCAGTAGTTAGCATAGAAGTAAATAAGTTAATTACCACTTAGTTACAATACATTGAGTTTTAAGAATATCATTACCAAGTCGCACTTGTAAAGGGTTCTGTATACAACGTGGGAAATAAGATAAGGGAGGCATCTGCAAGCACAACAAGGACGAAAATAAAAGGAATAATAATTTACGAATGATAAGATAAAGGCATGGATTCTGTAGGGGTATCGAGATATTAATGTTGTCTAGCACTCAGGATGGAAGGAAACTCTAATGTGGTTTTCTTGTATAATATATAAGTTATATGATAGACAGTCTGGTGCTGGAGGTGCCGTGTGGTGAGGGGCTGCTCAGTAGAGACGTTCGGTGAGTAGCTTGTTGAAGGAGGTAGATGTGCAGGAGCTTCGTTAGAGAAGATGTTGCCTGTTGCTGGCCTCCTGGTTGAATGAATGCTGGACAGCTAGGAGCTTGCTGGAGGAGGTGTTGCGTGTTCAGGAAGATGGGCCAGAATGAGAGTTGGTTGGTGAGGAAGCTCAGAGAAGGACAGCTGGTGGGTCGCCATGCTCGCTGGCGGGAGCGAGGACCGCCAGGCAGGCGAGGAGGAGCGAAGGCAGCCAGGCAGCGGCGGAGGAGGAGGTGTTGCTTGTTCAAGAAGAATGGTCAGAATGAATCTCAATGGAGAGACAGAGCTTATATACCCAGCAGCAGCCGCTATGAGTCATGTTGGGAAAACCCAGAAAGTCGCCGGTGACTGGTTCCGTTGCTAAGATACGGTAACATCTGGTTGGTTGCTAGGGAAGGCGGCACATTGGAATGCGATACGCAGTTTGTAGGGGAGACGTCCACTACAATACTCTATTTCATTAGACCTTTGGGACAATTCACTACTGTATACATTATAGTATTTCCACGCTAACCTGGCCCGAGTGTGAGTTCCTTCAAGACCAGACTTGACCAGCAATGGAGCAGGTTTAGACATTCAGGAGCCGGTGCATGCTCACTATCCCTTGACCACCGAAGGGTCAAGACGTACCTGGCGCTCCTCTCGGAGCAGCCAGGTCAACTGTTGGTTGGCCCATACCAACCCCCTCCCCTGAACCCTCCTCCCCACCGGAATATCAACAAGTTCTTGCCAGAAGTTACAATTTCATTTAGGAAAGGAAAGGAACCAGTGTTAAACAAAGGTGAACAGTGGTGAACAGTGCTTAAGTCAGTGAGAACAACTCAACAGTAACAGTCGTACCCAAGTTAACCTTCACACAGTGAGGTCCCAGGTACCCAGTGATAACGGCCCCCGCGAGACCCAACAACAACCACCAATGTGTTAATCCGTCTACGATAGGAAGGCCTGGGACCAAACCTCACTCATATAACACCATCTGTGAGGGAATTACTACACCACATGTCCCTCATAACACCATATGTGAGGGAATTACTACACCACGTCAAGTCCCTCATCACACCATCTGTGAGGGAATTACTACACCACGTGAGGTCCCTCATAACACCATCTGTGAGGGAACTACTACACCACGTGAGTCCCTCCTAACACCATCTGGGAGGGAGTTACTACACTACGAGTTTGCTGTTCAACACCTACATTAATCTGTATGTTCACTGTATGTTCCTTTACCTTTCTCTAATGAAGGCTTTTGTTAAACCACCAATGTATGTAATAAGTCATTTATGTCCAGTGTATATTTTCAGCCTTCGGGCTGCAGAATTTTTTCAATAAACCGTTAATTATTATTATTATTATTACTTGCCAACAACGCGTAACAGACGTGACCGTCTGTTTAAGCTCTTGTAGTGGATTCCTCCCCTACAAACACTTTTGTCGCTGAGTAGCCGATCCCGCGAATTCCCCAGTGTTGCCTCGTGGTCTAGGTCAACCAGCGCCGCCTTACATGACGGAAGTCAACTATTAAGCCACGCCTACCTCCACTATATAAGATCTCACTTCGTGGTGACCTATCATACCGAGAACTGCACCTCGGCGAGGTAAGATCTTTCTGCTCCCGAGGTACTACGTGAACCTGACAATGTTCACCTGTAACCAGGCGAAGGTCGTTAGACTGTACCCAGTCAAATGCCCTTCGCGCAAGCAACTAAACCTCCTTGTCCTGAGGAAGTTTTTTGACTCCTCAGGAATCACGGGGGTAACAAGGGTCGTCCGCAGAGACAGTGGTGGCCTTATCGTCACCTTCGCGGAATGGGGACAGGCCCAGCAAATAGCCAACATAACAGAAATTAACGGGATCGAGATACTAGTGGAAGCTGGCACAGAGGACAACTTGGTGTTGGGAGTCATCTCCCACACCGAGATTGAACATCTTGAAAAAGAAGAACTGGCCGAGCTGATCGGAGACCAGCTCTCAATAGTACGGAAGCTGACCAGTGCAACTGCACTGGTTGGCTACCCCAAGAAGCTACCAAGCACCGTTTTGCTGGGATGGGAGAAGATCCCAGTAAGACCGTATGAAAGAAGACCAACAAGATGCTACAAATGCCAGAGGTACGGCCATCTGGCGTGGAAGTGTCGTGATCGGGAGGTCTGTTCCAGTTGCGGGACACCCGGGCACCAGGACACCAACTGCTCGGCGGTCGCCAAGAAATGCGCAGCTTGTGGTGGCCCTCAGTCCTCCGACCGGGAGTGTCCCAAGTGGAGGGAGGAGTGTAGGGTGGCTAAGCTGCGAAGTAAGGAAAAACTGAGCTACAAGGAGGCTCTCCTTGTAATGAAAACTGAAGAAAAGACGAATCAAGACCCGAACAAGACCACAAAAAATAAAAATCAAGACCCCAAGAAGACCACAGAAAAAAAAGAAGCCAAAATTAAACAAGACCGAAGAAAAAATGATATATTAACATTAACACCGTTTATAGACGTTTACGAGAATATACCAGAACAAGACCAAGAAGAAGAATGGAAATTGAAAAGTAAAAGAAAAAACAACAAAAGGAAGAAGTCCAAAGAAAATGAATCTGCAAACAAACAGCTTCGGCCGAAATAGCCTAACGGCGAAGTGGCCAGTAATCCCCAATACAAGTACAAGGTGACCTATCTCTTTCTACACAGCCAGTCTTCAAGCAACACTTCCTCCTCCTACTGCCTGGTGGCCTCGCCAGCCAGCGAGCATGGCGACCCACAAGCTGGTCCTCCTCTGAGCACCCTCACCAACCAGCTCTCTCTACTCAACGCAACCATGTGCCTTCCCAGCACCAAGCTGCATTGTACATCCAATACAACATGTATACAGAGAGCATATTGTGAGTTTCCTTTCTCCATCCCATCCTGTGTGTGAAACCTATCATGCCCCACACGCTTAACTAACAAGACGATCAGTAGTGAAGAGGAAAGTAAAAAAAAAAAAAAAAAAAAGTAAGCCACTGTAACGTGGCAAGGGCTAATTGTCAAATTTCTCTTTGTGTTTGTCTATTTTTTCTCTGTTAAGCTCATACAGAAACATACGTACATGTGGGAAATCTCGCACTAAGGATGGAGGTGTGAAAGGAATCTCTCAATAGAGTTACACTCACACACACATATATATATATATATATATATATATATATATATATATATATATATATATATATATATATATATATATATATATATATATATATATATATATAAAAGCATATGTACAGGGCCAGATTCAGGAGGGGCAAGTGGCAGCTGCAAGGGCCTCCACATATTACAGTATTTTTTTGTTTATTCATTTGGATTATTTTTATTTTCATTCTTTAAAATTCATGTCTATCTATTCCATCACATAAAACTATGTTCAACAAGAAGCGTGATAGAAATTAGGCTAGCTACTCCTTGAAATTCATGCATACCTGGTTTTCCGATGAACCGACTTGAAAACACACAGATGACTCCAGTCATGTTGTAGTGGATTCTCCCCTACAAACGCCGTTTGTCGCTGACTAGCTGACCATCGATTTCCCCAGTGTATACCTCGTGGTGGTCAGCAACCAGCGCCGCCTTACATGACTGAGGTCAACTATTAAGCCACGCCTACCTCCGCTATATAAGACCTCATCTCGTGGCGACCAACCAGCAAGCAACACCTCCTCCTCCACTCCTGCCTGGCGGCTTCCGCCCAGCCGGCGACCATGGCAACCCACAAGGTGGTCCTCCTCTGAGCACCCTCACCAAACAGCTCTCTCTACTCAACGCTTGTAACCATGCTGCCTTCCCAGCACCAAGCTGCATTGTACATCCAATACAACATGTATACAGAGAGCACATTGTGAGTTTCCTATCTCCATCCCATCCTGAGTGTGAACCAATATATCGTACCCCACAATGTCT